CTTTCTTTTTTTCTTCTTTTATATATATATAATATATACATATAATTTTCCTTCCTCCACTAGAAAGAATAAACAACAGTGGTCACTGCAATTGGGCATATGAGATGGCTTTTAATCATCATTTGCATTATATGTTTTTTATTCTTCTTTTGGGCAATCTTTATCCTTGGCCCTCACGTCCTGCTACAACGGTCACACGTTACTCCCACTTTCGCTGGTGACTTTCTCGTGACTTTTATAGAGTATAAAAAATTGTCTGAGGCTATTGTGGCTTGGATACAATTTATATTTTGTCGTAAGAGTTTGAGTAAGAGTTTGCTGCCTATGGCAAGGCATGGTTCGTATGTATAAAGCTTCGAAAGTTTACTGACTTAAGGAGATTTTTGTTCTCATGAAGCAATAAAGCTACGAGATATGTTTAAATGATAGTGTCGTTGTCTGTTTCTTCTGTGAATATTTAAAATTGCATGTATTATCCACTAACCAATATAATTGCTTTTTTTTTTTTTTGTCGTCTAGATTTATTATTAATTGCAAATTATGAGAACTGTTACATAGACGATTCTACAACTGACAATTCCTTCCGACCCTTACTAGATTCACGACAGACTACACTTCCTTCTTCGTAATCTTGATGAATACCTTCAATGATCCACGACCTCGCTACACTTCCTTCTCTGCGTAGAATCCTGGCGAACGGCTATAATTGTACATCGCTGGAGATCTCTTGCACACTTGCCTCCATTAATCTGCAAATTTGTTAATAAATCGCAATACCTGGGACTCGAACCCCAGACTTTTTGGTGTAGAAGCATTAATCAACCCTTGGTCAACCAATGGGCCAAGGGGGCTTCCACACCAATATAATTGTTATGCTTGTAATGAATATTATTTTAAAAAATAAGTAAAAGATGCATGTGGGCTTAGCTGTAAAAACTTTTGTTAAAATAGGTTTTTTTCGGATAAGATTTTATTTTAAAATAGGTTTTTTAACTGCTTTGTTTAAAGATAGAACTAAAAATATGGTAGGTGTTTCAAAAAAAGAGGTTCATTGGAAACAAATTAAGTGGTTGTTGTTGCAGTGA